GCTCGGGCTGGAGCCCGAGCTCTGGGACCTTCTGGGACCCTCCACCTTTGCAAGATGGCCTGGCATGGCTGGGCACTAAGGGAGCCAAAGGCAACACTAAAGTGAGTTTCCAGGATGGCATGAGCTGCTCCTAGCTCTCCCTCTGCCCGCGGACTCCACCCTCCTGAGCTATCTCATCTCCACAACAGAGGCAGGAATCCTGGGGTGATTTCATCCCCCTCCACTCAGCTTCCTGGTTCCCGCAGCACCCCCTGCTCGCAGCACTCTGTCAGCTCCATGCCATCCTGGGGCGGCACCTTCCCCAGGGCGGCGGCACCCAGCACCCCCCACCAGTGACACCCTCCTATCTGGCACCCACAGCCTGCATGATAGCATCCCCCTTATCCACTGCCCAGCACAATTACAGCCAGCTCCCCCGTCCACCTGGTAGCACCCAGCAGCCACGCCGCTACCTCCCCACGCTCTCAAGTCCCACACCCCCTGCCCTTCATTAGCATTTCCTCAGATTCGTCCGTTACCGGACTCTATTTCAGCGGATCACATCTAGGGCCTGGGGAGTTAAAACATCCCTCGAATTAACCCTGGCAAACTTTGAATTGAAAAAGAACTATTCTGTTGCCTCCACCTGAGAGCTGCATTCTGGCATCCGGCGCCGCGTGCAGCTCTGGGACGCAGCAACCCGCACCCACCAAACAGCTGCCCTCTCGTGGGATGCGGGGACACCTTGTGTGAGCTTGTCGAGCAATAGCAAATAATCCAAGCAATAAAAACCCAACAATGGTTGTTTCCGACACACAACCAGTCATCGCTTAGGAGACAGCGTCTTGGCTTTTGGGAGGAGCTTTGTGCAACAGGTGTCGGAGGAATTGGGTATATTGCATGGAGTGGGACACCCCTAGTTGGTGTCTCTTGGGAAGAAGAGGTGTAACATTGTAGGGTGCTGTGTTGTATGTAAGAACTGAGGGTGAGAAGGGTTGGGGCACTGGGCTGGAACCCAGGAAAGTTGGGTTCCATTCATAGTTATCTAGGGTGCTGATGTCAGGCTATCTTATCTGAACACCTCAAACCTTTACAGCTCTGAGCCTCACAAAACGCATTAGCCTCACATTACAAATGGGAAATTCCCCACATGTTACAGTTGGGAAACTGAGGTATAGAGCAACTGGATTATTTGCCCAAGGTCACATGGTCAGTGGGAAGTTGTGGGGCACAGTAGGGAACATAACCTTTGTCTCCCAAGCCCCAGGTCTGCTCCCTTGCCATGCTCTGCCCCCATTTCCCTTATGATCTTGTGCAAGTCATTTAATCTACCTTGTGTTTCTGTTAATCATCAGTATGAGGGAGCTAATACTTCCCTACCACCCAGGAGTGTTGTGAGGATAAGGTCTGCTCATGTTTGTGAGGCGCTCAGATAATGTGACAGTTACAATGACTGTGACGTGTTCGGTCACAAAGACCCCCTTGGGACTGTCACCTGATGTGCTGAATTTACCTCTTAGCCCATTTTCCCTGCCAGCCTGGGACCCCAGAGACCTGTCTTGTTGAGCCAGACACACTAGCCTGCTGCAACACAGACTCAGGTCTGGTCCACGGCCCCAAAGATGCAGACCTTAACCAAAAACTGCTCAGCAGGTCACCTATCTCCAGCACCCAGACACCCAGTTCCCAATGGGATCCAAACCCCGAATAAATCCGTTTTACTCTGTATAAAGCTTATACGGGGTAAACTCATAAATTGTCCACCCTCTATAACACTGATAGAGAGATATGCACAGCTGTTTGCCTCCCCCCGCCCCAGTATTAATCACTAACAAAAGTGATTTTATTAAGTATAAAAAGTAGGATTTAAGTGGTTCCAAGTAATAACGGACAGAACAAAGTAGGTCACCAAGCAAAATAACGCAAAAACACACAAGTCTAACCCTAATACATTAAGAAACTAATTACAGGTAAAATCTCACCCTCAGAGATGTTCCAATAAGTTTCTTTCACAGCTAGACTCCTTCCTAGTCTGGGCCCAGTCCTTTCCCCGGTACTGTACTTGTCAGTTCCAGCAGACATCTTTGATGGAAACTAGGGGTTTTCTCATGACTGGAAGCTCCTTTGTTCTTTTCCACCCCCTTTTATATATTTGGCACAAGGCGGGAATCTTTTGTCTCTCTGGGTTCCCACCCCTCCTTCTAAATGGAAAAGCACCAGGTTTAAAATGGATTCCAGTATCATGTGACATGGTCACATGTCACTGTAAGACTTCATTACCCACTGACTGGTACACAGGTACAAAGGAAGGCTTACAAGTAAACAGAGCCATTTACAACCAATTGTCCTAGTCAAGGGGAGCCATCAAGATTCTAAACCACCATTAATGGCCCACACTTTGCATAATTACAATAGGACCTCAGAGTTATACTTCATATTCCTACTTTCAGATACAACAATGATCCATTCATACAAATAGGATGAATATATTCAGTAGATTATAAGGTTTGTAATGATACCTTACAAGAGACCTTTTGCATGAAGCATATCCCAGTTACATCATATTCACATTTATAAGCATATTTCCATAAAACATTATGGAGCCCAATGTCACAATGAGGTCTATACAGAGAGTTACCGTGGTACCCACAGGAGCCCATTGCTTGCATGACTGACTATGCTCTATTCAGTGCCTGCTCCTATCGCTTCTTGAGGGGATCCAAACCAGCCACACTGTGGCCTGTCAATTCCCAGTAACACAGGACCTTTATATCCTACACAAACTATACACACGGAGCCCCACCGAAATGCAGCCACCTCTGGAGTGGAGGGTCACAACCAAATAGGACATGGCAATCAGTGGGAAAGGTTGGAAGGGGCTTAATGATGCTCTTTTGAAATGTGCTGTGGGATCTTTTGTATCCATGTAGCTGCAGCTTAGATATAAGGTGCAATTTAAAGGGCTTGGTCATAACGATGCCCATGCCTAAGAGTTAATGCACTAAGTCTGCCTTGGCGGGATGAGTCACCGGGGCGGGGATTTGAACGCATGTGGTGTTGAGTTCAGTTCATTACCTGGTCATTTTAGAAGTAGGAAGGAAAGAAAGCTTGCGGCCTGATCCCAAACCCAGTGACTTAATGGGGCAGCCCCTCAGTGAACGTAAAAGCCAGAGGCTGCTGGAGGCAAAGGAAGATACATGGGGTGGGGGCAGACCAGGAAGCCACAAGAGGATGCCGGAGACAACGGACATGTCTATACTGCAGACTAAGTCCAGTCTCTGACTCAGGTTTGAGCCCACGGCCCTCCTTCCGTCCACACACAAATCAGACTGAGTCAGGACAGCAAGCACTCCGGACCCGCATACTGTGACCCTGCTAGCAGGGTGGATCAGAGCCCAAGTACCACTGAGACTCGGGTCCAAGCCTGTCATTTGTGGACGCAGCTCAAGCCACAGACGCGAGTCAGAAGGGCTGCGCAGTGGAGTATGGACACGTCACCCAGGTCATGAGACCAGGTCCAGCAATTGTAAAGCCAGGTTTACAATACAGTGTGGATGTACCCAATAAGAACCAAGTGCTTAGGTAGATATATGGGGCGGTAGGGGAAGCAGGAGGGAATTTGTGCCTGGACAGAGCTGGAGAGTGTTGTCTAAAGGCCAGGTAACGGCTCTGCCTTGCACCAGGGCACAAAGCGGGGGGTGGAGGGGGCACAACTGCAATTTCCTAAGTGTGGATGCAGCTTCCTGCTAGTGCGCCTCTGTGCACGGGATGGGCAGCAGTTACCTGTGCCCCGGCCCCCATCCTGCACCGGCCACCAGAGCTGGCTGGACATGCAGGGGAAAGGGTCCCGGTGGGGTAAAATGCCAACATGGCAGCCTGCGCTCTTCCCAGCATCTTTCCCATTGTCCTGCGCACCCAGGTATGCCTCCTCCTAGGCCTTCTCATCCCCACCCAGGTCCATGTCACCCCGGCCAACTGCCTCTCCTCCCTCTGACCCACCCTTCCCAGGTACCTTCCTTCTTACCCAGCCCCACATTTAACCTTCTTCACAGCCAAGCCTCTCTGCTCCCCTCACCATCCCTTTCTTCTGGGGGCAGTGACCCTTGTTCCTCCTCTCCATCCTCCCGGCCTGTTGGGGGAGGGATCAGAAGGGTCCTTCCCTCACCAGCCCTCTGCGGGGCGGTGCCCCCCATGAGAACCACAGAGTAGGGCGTCTGAGGCCTGTAGCTCAGTGCGATGGCTGGAGCAGGCTTTGCTGTGGGGAGTGGAGGACAATACTGAACGTTCTGGGGGTGGGGAAGGGGTGGCCTTTACCTATCAACCCTCTGAAAGGCCCAGTGAGACTATGTGGCATTCCCCGCCCCCCCTTTCTCCTCCTTCCCTTCCTGCCCCCATCAGAGGGAAAAGAATGAAGACCCCTGCTGGAAGTCAAGGGTGACCGGTGGGGTGGGAGGGCTGGCGGGTGAGGGGCAGCGACATGGGCAGAGGGAGGGAGAGCTGGTTTGATGTGGGGGCCAGGAGAGAGAACCACCAGGAAGAGGCACCTTATGGATTTTGTTTCCCCCCTTCTTCCTCCCCTTACCCTAATCTGGATCCGGAAATGGTTCCCTCAGGACTTTGGATCTAAATCATGAGCGGGCCCGTGCAGATCCACTGCAGCAACTCCCACTCCCACACAGCCCCTCTCACGGGGGAGTTTGGATTCTCAGGTCTGACTCATTTGCTGGGTGAACTGTCAACCTAGAGATGGAACAATCCCATGCCCCCTTCCCACGCACCATCCAATTTACACTGGAAATGAAAGCAAACCAGCCACTCCAGTGTGGTATGAGGAGACCATCTTTGCCTGTTTACACGGAAGAGCCCTCCAGAACCACCCACGCACTGTGCAGTCAGCACATAATCTGGATTTCCCCACGCAATTCTGTTCAGCAAAAGCAATCAGGCATCTCTGTCTCCCCACCCACTCGCCCCCCTCTCCCATCATCCCAGCGAGGACGGGCCGCTTGCCTGCGCTGTACCTGTTTGGTGGAATAAAGACGGGCCCTCCGTCTCCAGAGCTGTCGATCCAGCACGTCTTTCGCTGGCATGCAATTGACTTAGGGAAACAAAAACAACACCCTGCGGCGAGAAGCTTTACTGCACATTCATAGCCCGTTTCTATGACACCGGGGTTCTACCTCTCAGAAGGTGTTCGGTGTCAATCATGATTTTGCTGCTGGCAAAAACGGTCCAAGTCTCTATGGAAACGAGACGTAGGTTATTACGGCGCCTGTTGGGCTGCTGTCTGCAGAGATTCCCATCCTGAACATTCACATTCGTATACGATATTAATATTGCCTTTGCTATAAAAAGGGCATTAGATTCTCCTTGGATCTGGGCAACACTCCCTCCTCCCCTCACATCTCAATAAAGAAACAATGCTCTGAGCCTTAGTTTCACTTATCCACCTCCTTTTGGTAGTTATTAAACATGGTTTAATGATTGATGCAAGATGGAAATGCAGCTGATGGCTTTCCCGTGGTACAGACATTATAAGAATAAAAGGGATTTGCAACTGCTACACAACCAGGCCAACCTTTGCAAAGAAAACTAGTGGTTTAGAGTGTATCCATTTCTGGGGTGTCCAGCGTGAAAGGGGTGAAGGCCCTTTAAAGACCTCTCAGGTTGGAGGCACCCAATATGACTAGAGACTTTTGAAAATCTTCCCCTACAACTTTGATTTTGTCAGTGGGGTCCGGCGAGGAAGCAAAGTTATTCTGTGGGCGGGTTGCTTCTGTGGCTCCGGGCCAAGGTGAGGTGCTGAGCCAGAAGTCACTCATCTCTGGGCACCACCCTTCATGGCGACTGGCTCACAGAAGCTAGTTAGCATATGGCCAAATAACAAGCAGAGGGAGGGAGAAATTCAAATGCACTGTCTATACGAGGAAGAAAATTTGAATCTGACATTTGAAGTGGAGCTGGGGAGTCTACGGGCTTGAAAGATACCAAGAGGTTGTTGCAGGTGCAGAGGAGAAGGCTCTCTCGCTCCGGCACCGATGAGTGTGTGGGAAGTGGGGAGAGAGGGGTACAGTCCCAGATGAGGAACAGGAGTTGGGGAGAGAACGGGGATATAGACGAAGCCTAAGTGGTAGGAAAGACAAGTGCGTGGAGGGTTTGCCAGACATGGAGGGCAGATTGAAACAAAGAAGACTGTGTACTGAGTGGGGGTGGGGGGTGATATGGATTTCTGAAGGCTCTGTATTTGTTTTACGAAGATGCCTGATGTTTTCTCCCCTGTCTCAAAGCTTCTCTCACTACCAAAGGTTGATCACAAATAGAGTCCTGAGCAGGGCCACCGAGAGTGGGTTCGGGCCCCGGTGAATTTTTTTTTTCAGGCCCCCCAGCAAGGGCGGGCCGACGAGAGGGGGGCGGAAGTCGGGGAAGCTGGGCCCCCGGGCTCCCTTCCGGAATTTTTTCAGGCCCCCCAGCAAGGGCAGACCGGCTAAACAGGGCCAACGAGAGGGGGGAGAAGCTGGGCCCCGGGCCCCCTTCCGGACCGCCAGGCCCCGGTAATTTGTACCGGCTTCCCCCCCTCTCGTCGGCCCTGGTCCTGAGATATCAAGCTATCCACTAACTACCTCACCCCACTACTCTACTGTATTGAGCTGGCAGCAGTGCTCATACACACTAGCCCTTTGCTGGATCTGGAATCATGGTCGGTATACTGTGTGTCATATGGCCAATACTGCCACCAGCTAGAGGAGATTTTCCAGGAGCTCAGCTTAGTAGCCTTGGCTATTAGAACAAGAGGGTCTGAGTTCTGTCCCTGCAAACCGAACTGCTCGCTGGCTAGAGCTGGTCTTACGAGGGTGAAGGTCAGGGTGGAGGCCCATCGGTGGGGCAGCCTATGGGAAGCTTGCATTGCTGCTGCCCGGGCTGCACCTGTTCTGTGCATAAGTCAAGGACGTTGATCTCCTGGGCTGTCAGCGGGAGCCCTTACTCCAGCTCCAAAGCAGATTTCTCATTCGCTGGAGTTTGAATGAGGAGATTGCATGCCAGCTGGATGGTTTCTAGTAGAGGTGAGCTTGAGGATTCACTGAAAAGCAACTCTGACCCCCAGGGCGCTGACAGCAAAATGTAGGGCAGCTAATTCCTCAACCAGGGCACCACAGGGAATGAAAGGCACCTGAATGGGATGGGGAGTTAATCAGATCCAAGTGCCTCCATAGCTTCTGTTGCTAGGGAGACTGCTTCCTTGGTATCGCAAGATGAGAATATCTATTCTTTTGACTTCTCAGGAATTAGGTGCTCAGGCCACATAAGAAAGGGAGAGAGAAAATAAACCCGAGATCTAAGATTTTTTTAAAAAAATCTTTCCCATAACCAACAAAAACAGGCCCAAGTTTATTTTTAAGGCTAGAATGCTGAATCTTTAACCCCTAAAAAGCCAATTTGCCGTCTGATGGAGACATGGGGAGCGGGAAAAGGATTGCTTCCCAATGTCCTATTAGCACTGGTCTAATACCAACATGTGATACAGCTATCGCAGTGATACTCAGACCTCAGTGGTTCAGGAGCCAAATTAGAGATCAGCATTACCCCCAAAGAGCCACAGTTGTGGGAATTCATTGTTTCATTTACTCTAGAACTATAGATTCATATTTAAACAGTACAACAGGGGAGATATTTAGTATATATATATATATCATTCTTACAGCAAAATGACTGACCAAGTATTAATATTTTAACAACTACGATTGGTTAATAACATAGTAAAAGCATCCTGATTGGTTAATAACTTAGATCGGTTAATAATGAAATCACACCCTGTTTTAATATCGTGTGCTGCAAAGAGCCACCGGCGACACACTAACGAGCCACTGGCGGCTCGCGCCTCAGTCTGAGTCTCACTGATCCAGGGTAGAACGGCAGAGTGACAACCACCTCGGGAATGGAGGTTGTTCGTAACGCTGAACAAAACATTTGGGGTTCTTTGGTTGTTCTTTCAAAAGTTTACAACTCAGCCTTGACTTAATGCAGCTCTGAAACTTTACCCTGCAGAAGAAAAATGCCTCTTAATGTAAATGAAACAACCACAGAAACAGTTTCCTTCGCTTGTCAAATCTTTTTTTTTAAACTTTCCCTTTTTGTAGTAGTTTACATTTAACACAGCACTGTATTTTATTTGTGGGGTTTTTTTGTTTTTTTGTCTCTGCTGTTGCCTGATTGCACACTTCCAGTTCCAAATGAGGTATGTGGTTGATCGGTCAGTTCCTAACTCTGGTGTTTGTAACTCTGAGATTAGCATGGGATTAGAGTCCTCTGTCTAGCTGTCGAATGGGTATGTCACAGGCAGTGGGATGCAAGCTTCATCTACTGACCTGCCAATGGGCCTCAACCCTGACCTCCAGCGACACGCTCCAGGGATGAAAAGGGAAACAGGTCCAGGCACGTTAAGTTTCCAATCCAAAGCCCACTGATGTCATTGGAAAGACTCCCACTGAGTTCAGAAGGCTCTGGGTCAGGCCTCTCGTCCTTGGCTTTTCTGCTGAGGCTGCCTGCAAAGTTGGCAGCTTTGACCATCGGTGGCTTTGTGATGTGCACACCCGCGTCTAAAAGAGGACTGGCGCCAAGCCAGCCCCTTCACGTAGACCTCCGCTGGGCCCCTGCCAGAGATGTTGGATGTTCCTTATGCCGACAGTTTGCAAGAGGCAGGATGGCATTTTGCAGGGATGTTGGCTGGTCATTCAGACCCCAAATGTAGCTTCTCTTCAATAACCAACTTTAAAGACCCAGATCTTGACACAAACCCTTTCATGATTTTTTTCGAAGAATTCCAGTGAAAACAGGTTGGCGTTGTTTGGGGCTGCCGTTGTGGAGGGGGGAGGGGAGGGCGGATGGAGGGTGATTTAAACATTTCCCTGCAATGGTGGAAACCTATCCACAGCAGATTTAAGAACAAGCAACAGCGTGAGAGAACCTGGAGGTGGGACTGACTCGCAGATCATGGCCCACACTACAAGCCGGACCCAAAGCCCATCAAAGGCAAGGGGAGTCTTTCGAGGCTTCGTCTCAGGCCCGGGGGTGGGATAGATAGACCCCCACACTGACAAAGAAGGGGTTAATGAGAGCCTGGGGACTCAAACTGCTACACCTGGAACAGTTGTCATGCCTGGAGGAGCCTGACACCCGCTCCACCCCAGATCCTGCCCCCACTCCACCCCTTCCCCCAAGGTCCCACCCCACCCCATCTCTTCCTGCCCCTGCTGTTCCCCCACCCCACCTCTTCCCGCCCCGTTCTGCCCTCTCC